AGGGCATGAACGTGTAAAAACAGCATGAGTTGGGTCCCTTACCTTACAAGAAAGACAAACCGATTAATTGTTTTTCATTAAATTTATGTAGCGTTAAACTTGACAGTCATTGCCAACAAAATGTTCCACCTAGATAATGACTGCTTTTGAAAACATAATGATCCACCTAGATAATGACAGTCATTGCCAACAAAATGTTCCACCTAGATAATGACAGTCATTGCCAACAAAATTTTCCACCAAGATGACTGCTTTGGATAACAAAATGTTCCACCTAGATAATGACAGCCATTGCGAACAAAATGTTATACCTAGATAATGACAGTCATTGCCAAAAAAATGTTCCACCTAGATAATGACACCTTTTGATAACAAAATGTTCCATCTAGATAATGACAGCCATTGCCAACAAAATGTTCCACCTAGATAATGACAGCTTTTGATAACAAAATGTTCCATCTAGATAATGACAGCCATTGCCAACAAAATGTTCCACCTAGATAATGACAGCTTTTGATAACAAAATGTTCCATCTAGATAATGACAGCCATTGCCAACAAAATGTTCCACCTAGATAATGACAGCTTTTGATAACAAAATGTTCCATCTAGATAATGACAGCCATTGCCAACAAAATGTTCCACCTAGATAATGACAGCTTTTGATAACAAAATGTTCCACCTAGATAATGACAGCCATTGCCAACAAAATGTTCCACCTAGATAATGACAGCCATTGCCAACAAAATGTTCCATCTAGATAATGACAGCCATTGCCAACAAAATATTCCACCTAGATAATGACAGCTTTTGAAAACAAAATGTTCCACCTAGATAATGACAGCTTTTGATAACAAAATGTTCCACCTAGATAATGACAGCCATTGCCAACAAAATGTTCCACCTAGATAATGACAGCCATCGCCAACAAAATGTTCCACCTAGATAACTACTCATACTACACAAACTATCATCACTCTCTAACTCACTCTTGAGTATTAACGTAGACAGTTAAACTAGACAGTTAACGTAGACAGTTAAACTAGACAGTTAATGTAGACAGTTGAAAATCATTTATATCTTTTATTTTATTTTTTTTTTTTTCTTTTGAAAGCTGATTAACATAACCTCACCCCCCTTTACCCCATAACTGCGTGGGTCATATCTTGGTTTGTTGATTCAAAATGTAGAAATGCCCTACTTCTCTCCTTGCCGTGGCTTGTCAGCTTTCTGCAACGAACCCGGGTGGCCGCTGAAGTCGTCCAGCCCGAGTGCTGGTTGAGTCTCAAAATCTGTTGCCATGATTTGAGCTAACCGGGCACCACACCGATGAAGTGCTGCGCAAGTTGCGGGGTGAAGGACTGAGTCACTCGGTGCAGCAATCTCGCCTGAGTGACGTGAGGCACATTTATGAAAAACGGTGTGATCATCACTTCACTCAGTTTGTAAATAATTTAAGATACCTTGATTTCGAGCCTCTTGATTTATTTCCCCACGTGTCCAGTTTTATTACTGGCTTTTTATGTCTGTATTATTTGAATGTTTCATAAGAAATTTTTGTTTACTTAATGAAACGCTCATATAAAATACTCGTATTCGAACTTGAAATTTCCAGAAGTTTTGAATAATGGCCATATCACAACTCAGAACACATTAAAGATAACCTATATTTTAGCCTGCGATACTATCACACAGTAAAGATACCCTACAATTTAGCATGCGATAATGCAGCACAGTAAAGATAACCTATACCTTTAGCCTGGCATATAACTAGCACAAGATCTTGCCCCCTCTTCAAGTAAATAAATAGGCTTGAGGAAATCGTTCAGCTGCAGACATCAACATCAGTCACGTTCGCCACTGTTTACTGTCTGGTATCGCAGATCTGGGCCAGAATTTTACATTCCGCTCCAATAATCTGGTCCCAGCAGCTCAGCACCAGGATACTGTCACGACCAATTCTACAATCTTATATCCCAGACAGCCTTCTAGAATCACGAATAGCAGACAACCTTATGTCTGCGGATTAGACTGGTGGCATTAGGATATGCGTGGGCAGGTCGTGAGAGTTGAGACAGGCTACGCACGCATTGTTAGAGGTTAGGTGAGTGAAAGGGAAGTTAGGTAAATGGAGAGAGAATTCACATGAGTTTAGAATGTGGGCAGGTTAATAGGAAGAGCGGCAAGGTCATGGAGTAGGTGAGTCGAGGGAGTCAGTTCATGTGAGTACGCTATTTTCGATGAGGATGAAGAGATCGGTTTGAGTAGGGAGTTGGTTGGCGGGTAGACGAGCTCAAGCAAGGTCTGTAGAAAGCGTTTAATTCAGTAGGTGAGGGTAGGTGAGATTTATCGGGTCAGATGCCACATGTTTAGAACATGGCGATGGTGTGAAGAAAATGAGGGAATTGTTAATGTGGAAGTGAGGTAACAGTAGTGGCATCATTAGCTGTTGATGAAAAAAATTGGCATGGGATCTCAAGTGCAACAATGAGAGAAAGATGTGATGTTTGAGGGACTTGGTCTCGCGGTCCTGTTCAGAGTGAGGGGCATTCAACGAAGTGCGAGCAGCGGTCTTTGACTTTTATTTGATGGAACGAGGGAGCGTTTAAGAGTGATTGAGTGGACCTATTCATCCATTCATCCACTTTGACTGCTGCTACGTCTTGTAGCTTCACCCGGCGCTTACGACGATAGTTGTTATAACAGAAGAGAGACCATCAGGAACATAAGATTGTCTGACCTGGTATAGTATCAGGTTACAGAAAAGCTTTGAACAATCCAAATGAAGAAGCAGCAACCACTCTTTAAGATGTGGCAATGGTTCACTTCATAATCTTCAAATAAAGAGCCATAAGGGCTCTTAAAAAATAATAAAAGCAGAGCCAATTTTTTATTAAAATAATTCATAGGAAAGTACAAACTACCATTAAACCTACTTCATTTTACAAAGTATAACAAGTTTGCCAATTTTAACGCAATATTTCCTATTTTGCTTCAGTTTTCGTTATCTTTTATCCTGCCGGACTCTTCAGAAGCAAGACCTTATGTTTCCGTCCTTATTCCCACTACTATATATATAATGATTTTTTTTTTTAAATACAAGAAGTAACAAAAAAACAATCGGAGAAAAGGCCGAGTCCAGGAGGGAGATAACAGTGGGAGGCGAATGGTCTTACCTGTGCCCCAGTAGTCGAGGATAAAAGAAGCCAGAAATAATTGAGCAGATCTGGGTGTAAACAGGGACAGTAACAAACTTTGCGGGTTTTGCCCCAAGCTAAAAATCGACTTGAAAAGAGAGTTGTTGATCTTGCTTTGAACTGTATTGGTTTGATGTCGTACATATGCACCGCTGGAATAGGTGCACACATTAATATATTGGTACTTTATGTTGATTGTAGGAAATGCTAATGGTATAGCCAACTTATCACCATTTAATTTTACTTTGGGTATTTCGCTTATCTCCATGGCGGATACCAACTTAACATGTACACTTACTGGCACAACATTGATAGTCTAATTACTGGCATATCATTGTTAGTCTTATTACTAGCACAACATTGATCGTCTAATAATTACTACAACATTCATAGTCTAATTACTAGCACAACATTGATAGTCTAAGTGCTGGCACAACATTGATATTCTAATTACTGGTACAACATTTATAGTCTAATTACTGGCACAACATTGATAGTCTAAATACTAACATAACATTTATAGACTAATTACAAGCACAACATTGATAGTCTAAATACTGTCTAATCATTGATAGTCTAATTACTACCACAACATTGATGGTCTAATTACTATCTCAACATTGATAGTCTAATTACTAGCACAATATTAATAGTCTAATTACTAGCACAACATTTGTATTCTAAATACTGGCTCAACATTGTTAGTCTAAATACTGGCACAACACTGATAGTCAAATTACTAGCTCAACATTGATAGTCTAATTACAAGCACAACATTTGTATTCTAAATACTTGCTCAACACTGATAGTCTAAATACTGGCACAACACTGATAGTCTAATTACTAGCACATTTATAGTCTAATTACTAGCACAACATTTGTATTCTAAATACTTGCTCAACATTGATAGTCTAAATACTGGCACAACACTGATAGTCTAATTACTAGCACATTTATAGTCTAATTACAAGCACAACATTTGTATTCTAAATACTTGCTCAACACTGATAGTCTAAATACTGGCACAACACTGATAGTCGAATTGCTAGCACAACATTGATAGTCTAAATACTGGCACACCATTGATAGTCTAATTACTAGCACATTTATAGTCTAATCACTAGCACAACATTTGTATTCTAAATACTTGCTCAACATTGATAGTCTAAATACTGGCACAACACTGATAGTCTAATTACTGGCTCAACATTGATAGTCTAAATACTGGCAAACATTGATAGTCTAATTACCATTACAAAATCCTTAGTCGAATTGCTGGCACAACATTGATATTCTAATTACTGGTACAACATTGATCGTTTAATTATTGGCACAACTTTGTTAGTCTAATTAATAGCAGAAAAATAATGGCACACACACGGATACAAAAAAATTATCATATTACATTCACAAACACACACATACTTTTCTTACTTACTCTGACAAAGTGTCTTATTAAAGACACACTAATGAAATATCATTTAAATTAACACCAAAAAAACATGTGTCTCGTCATAGACTGGCTGAAATAATATCGTTTGATAAACACACTCACTATAATATGTTAGTAAAGTATACCCTGAACGACCACCACCAACAACTTACCCCCTCCCCCCCCCCAACCCAATCATGAACAGGACACACCACGCATTCCTTTGTCCATCGCCTCACTTTCTTTCTGCCGCTGATCCCGCCGCCCCCCTTTTTTCCACCCAGTCCCCGCGAGACGCTTACAACAAGAAGATCTTCAGGAACACTTCGCTTGATCATTGTGTGAGTACCGGTACTTGGCGTAGATGATTGTGTGAGTACCGGTACTCGGCGTAGATGATTGTGTGAGTACCGGTACTCGGCGTAGATGATTGTGTGAGTACACTTCGTAGTGATTGGATTATTGGCGCCAGCAACAAAGTTGTGCATTCTCATTTGATTTCATCTTCAGGAGCCGTCAATATTGATTTCACTGATAAAACTAGCAACAACAATTGTTTGTGTCTTAATCAGTTTTTAAACTCAATGTTTAGATTTAAAACATAAATGAACATTGTAAGTATTTTTTTCATTGGTGAAGCTTAGAACCTCGTTTTTTTTTTAAATTAAAGAGTTTATGACAAAATAGTTTATGACAAAATAGTTTATGACAAAATAGTTTATGACAAAATAGTTTATGACAAAATAGTTTATGACAAAATAGTTTATGACAAAATAGTTTATGACAAAATAGTTTATGACAAAATAGTTTATGACAAAATAGTTTATGACAAAATAGTTTATGACAAAATAGTTTATGACAAAATAGTTTATGACAAAATAGTTTATGACAAAAGAGTTTATTACGTTCTGTGTTACGATGCTTTTATTTCTTGTTAATGTTATTTCTTTAGATTAACTTGCACCAATGCAACCACGAGTCAACTCTTCCTCACAACTTTATAAAGAGTGGGAAACAAAACAAAAATTGAGTGGTTGCTTAGAGAGCACCAAGTGAAATCCACAACTTGGCAGTGTTTAGAGATGTTCTAGCAGATAACTAGCATACTAGTTGGGGAAAATGCTTACGTCTGAGTAGCCCCTTAAGCAACCACCTGCCCGACCTGCAACCCCCTGACCTCAGTGCAACCACAGAGGTTGCCTCAATGTAAACAGTTGTGATATTAAAGCTAAGGATATTCCAATACACACACAAAGATACAAACATAAAACACCAATAAAGCTGACACTTATAGACTAGACTACACGCATTAAAACAAATAACTCTTGCATTTTTTCATGACATTCCTGGTTGAATTTTTATTTAGATCTAATTCTAACTAATAAAGGAAATTATTCTGAAATAGCCTCTAGTCTAGACTAAATCTTCAAAATCAAAATCATCCTCCGACTCGTCATCGAAAATCATTTCAGACTCATCAATATTTGTGTCTGTTTCAGATTCATCAAGCATTTTGCTTGTCTTTCTCTTTTTCGGCCCTTTCCCTTTTGAATTACCTTTCAGCTGTCTTTTTTTCTTCCATTTGTCTCTTACTGTCTTCTTTTCGCATTTGGATTTCTTCGTCCCTCGGTTTTTTTGTTCTTCTCGTAATTTTATTTTCTCGTCCTTCCTTTTTGCTTTCTCTTCTATAGCCTTTAATTTTTCTTTTTCTCTAGGTCAATTTTTCTTATGGCCTTTCTTTCTTCTTCTTTTTCTTCCCGGTCGTTGTTTATTAGATGATCTATGAATTCTTTTCAACTGATCAGTGGTGGGAGCTTTTGAGTTCCTCCTTCTTCTCAGATAGCTCTGTTTAAGAACAGCCAATGATAGTGGATCGTTTTTAACATTAGGTGGAGGGTATTGACTGCTTGATTTTGAATGGTAATAAGAATGTTCCCATGATATAACTTCCATAACTTGTACAATGGGTAATCGCAGTTATAAACCTCTTCAAGTCTTTCATAATACAGTCTTAAGGTCTGGTGCCATTAAAAAAAGAAAGTAAATACATGTTTTGGTGGGTTTTTTTTTTACTTTCTTGTTGTTAGTCATCGTGACGTCATCGATGTGGCAACAGCTGAAATGTCTCGTCAAGTTTGTTTGATACGAATCTTTGACTCAATTTATGTATGTCCACTCTAGCTTGTTGTATGTCGGTTAAATGTCGACTCTGTTCTATTTGACCACAAGTCATCCAAAATTATGTTGATAGTTTTTTTAATTTTTTTTTTAAATGTCCTATAATTTTTCTATATATATTTGTCTGCAGGCATTTTCTTTTCTTGTTCAAAGTCATATATCTCCTGAACGTGGGCTCGGTAAAAAGCTCAAAGGCCAATTGCAATGAAATGAGAACGTTAAATCAGAAATCAAATATCATACATCATGTATCATACATCATGTATCATACATCATGTATCATACATCATATATCAAACGACATATATCATACATCATACAACCTACAAAATACATCACAGAAAATACATAATACAACATACATGATACAACATACATCATACAAAATACATCATTCACTGGCATTGGAAATAGTTTAATCCATGTCAAGTCTCTGAAAAGGGAATGTAATATTTGCTCCGAAAAATAATAATACACATTAAGAAATGATTATATAATCAGTTACATGATTTCATGAACATTTGATACTTAAAATAAAATGGACACGTTGTTTTGAACAGGCTGTGATTACTGGCGGGTGGTTATTATTATTATTATTATTATTAGTGGTTTTATAAAGCGTGGTACCCAAGCCTAGGGCTGGCCTCACCATGCTGTACTTACAATTTAACAAACATCATCATGAACTGCCATCGATGACGTTACTAACGGGTCATTACTGGCGGGTCATTCAAAGATAACTGTCATGAATGATTGACCGTTATTGTGGATATTAAACGTCTCCTTACTTTAAGCAATTGTTCAATTGTGTTAGGACTACAGTAATAAACGCGTCTTGGTGTTTGGTTAAGCTCTTTATAAATATGTCGGGGGGGGGGGGGATTAAAAATGTTTAAAGTCAAAGGAAATAAATAGAAGCCATTCAGAGGACATGTAAATGTAAAAAAAAATTAAAAAATACACCTTTAGCTTCATCGTTTTTTGTTAAATAAAGTTATCATTGTGCATAAAGAACAAATCTGTTACACATCTTCATAAGAACCAATCTATTGCATATCTTCATAAGAGCCAATCTGTTGCATATCTTCATAAGAACAAAACTTTTGCATATCTTCGTTATGAACTATAAAAGGGACTCAAAGAATTAGGTTCAGATTATCCTTTGGCTAAGCGGGAGTACGATGACCTATTGGTTACTGTGAAAAAGCGCAAACTAAAATCGTACGGCCACGTAACAAGGAAACAAGGGCTTGCCAAAGAAATATTGCAGGGCACCACAAGAGGAGGGAGAAGAAGAGGTAGACAAAGAAAAAGATGGGAGGATAACACCAAAGAGTGGACAGGACTAACACTGGGTGATGCAGTGCATAGTGCTGAAGATAGAGAGGAATGGAGGAGGATGGTTCACATGTCATCTGTGGCGCCCCAACGGTCCAAGGACTAAGGGGCATGAGGATGAGGAGGAAGCGGGCAAAGTGCCAATGCCCTACGAAGTTCAAGAAACCACAGTCCCTCGCTGACTATAAATACACGGCCTATAATTTTTATTGGACATTGCCCATTTCAGTCTATGCCTACCACTATGTGTTGATATGTGGTCTGTGCATCTTGTACAGGAAGAACATAATACCGCTATCTTTGACATCTGCGATGACACTTACAACTTAGCGTGACTACGAAATTGACATTGCCGTTGTTTCAGTGCTCTCGACTGGTTTCACCCACAGCAGACTGTGAGATGTCTGTGACATTTGACAAACCAGACAACCAGTCTCTGCTCGTGTCTGATGAGATGTCTGTGACATTTGACAAACCAAACAACCAGTCTCTGCTCGTGTCTGATGAGATGTCTGTGACATTTGACAAACCAAACAACCAGTCTCTTCTCGTGTCTGATGAGATGTCTGTGACATTTGACAAACCAGACAACCAATCTCTGCTCGTGTCTGAATGTAACGCTGTCTAAAACAACCCAACCTGAAGGGCCAGCTAAGAACCGTAGCCAAATTTTGTTTGATTTACCTTTGTAGAACTGTTCGCTCACGTGACTAAAAATGGGTTTGTGGTTCGATCAATATTTGAGACAGATTGCGGTCCTTCTCATACATGGTTTTTGGCTGTTGGCTGCTTTAGAACTCGAGTGTGCTGATTTGTTTTAAGTCTAGATAGTTTCTCTACAGCTGCGTTCTGATGTCCTTGACGCATGGAATAATACATTGGTCCTCACACCATACAAATCAGACTGTATTTCATTTTATATTAAAATATAAACTTTGTGCGGAGATAAACTTTTAAACAAAGAGGAATTGATTGTTTCAGATCTATAAAGTTGATTGTTTCAGATCTATAAATTTGATTGTTTCAGATCTATAAATTTGATTGTTTCAGATCTATAAAGTTGATTGTTTCAGATCTATAAAGTTGATTGTTTCAGATCTATAAAGTTGATTGTTTCAGATCTATAAAGTTGATTGTTTCAGATCTATAAAGTTGATTGTTTCAGATCTATAAAGTTGATTGTTTCAGATCTATAAAGTTCATTGTTTTAGATCTATAAAGTTGATTGTTTCAGATCTATAAAGTTCATTGTTTTAGATCTATAAAGTTGATTGTTACAGATCTATAAAGTTCATTGTTTTAGATCTATAAAGTTGTGGATTTCGTTATTGCCTCGTGTAAAGCTTTATATCTTACAATGAATAGATTAAATCTGACAATTCATGGATTCTTTTAGGTTCACTTTTAGACCTACGTTTAGACCAGCTGTTAGTAACCAACTTCTGGTAGCCGACACAATATACCTGAATGACCCGAATGACCTGTTAATCCACTCTCCAACCTTTCGTCCAGATCCTTGTGTTTACAGTGCGTTGAAGGAAATCATCCTTTGTTTAACTTTTATTAATTCGTATTCATTTTTTTTCTTCTTTTCTTTACAATTTTAAATATCCAATGGGATTACCAAGAGTATTTTTCTTTAAACTTCACCCGTCTTATTGAGACTGGCAATTTTTGAGTAACTGTAGATTGGGGTGGAGATGGGGGGGGGGGGGTTGGGGGTGGAGAGGGGGGGTGGGGGGGGGGGTGGGGGGAGGGTGAGAAAGAAATGTTTGTTGATTTTATGTTTATATCTTCTAATGAGGTGGGGGTGGAGATGGGGGGATGGTCAGAAATAAATGTTTGTTGATTTTATGTTTATATCTTCTAATGGTTTTTATGGATGAAACTTGGGGGCTCAGGTACTCCCCTTAATTGGCCCCGGCTAGCACAATCATCTATGAGGTAGCACTACCATAGGTAAGGTAGCACAACCATCCATAAGGTAGCACAACCATAAGTAAGGTAGCACAACCGTAAGTAAGGTAGCACAACCATTAATATGGTAGCACAATCATCCATAAGGTAGCTCTATTATCAGGAATGAAAAACTTAATATGCTTGTGGTCCTGTGTTATTGATAGACAGAATCATCAAATACGGCTCCTGTGTTATTTATAGACAGAATCATCAAATACGGGTCCTGTGTTATTGATAGACAGAATCATCAAATATGGGTCCTGTGCTATTGATAGACAGAATCATCAAATACGGGTCCTGTGTTATTGATAGACAGAATCATCAAATACGGGCCCTGTGTTATTTAATAGACAGAATCGTCAAATACGGGTCCTGTGCTATTGATAGACAGAATCATCAAATACGGGTCCTGTGTAATTGATAGACAGAATCATCAAATACGGGTCCTGTGCTATTGATAGACATAATCATCAAATACGGGTCCTGTGTTATTGATAGACAGAATCATCAAATACGGGTCCTGTGTTATTGATAGACAGAATCATCAAATACGGGTCATGTGTTATTGATAGACAGAATCATCAAATACGGGTCCTGTGTTATTGATAGACAGAATCATCAAATACGGGTCCTGTGTTATTGATAGACATAATCACCAATTATGGGTCCTGTGTTATTGATAGATAGAATCAGCAATTCCAGGTCCTCTGATATTTATAGACAGAATCCCCAAGTCCAGGTCCTCTGCAATTGATAGACAGAATTACCGTGTTTGGGTCCTGTCCTATTGGTATACAGAATCACCGTGTCCCATAATGTTGGTGTTATGTTTTTTACTCCCACATTCTCCATTTTTATTATTATTTTCTTTACCTATGTAACACGTGTATCTGATAAGAAGAAATAAAATTCCCCTCTATTACCTTTTATTTGTTTCTATCATTCACAGAAGTTCCTTTGATCGAAATTATTCAGCGTCCCTTCATATTAGTACTATGGCTCAATTCTGTGGCAAGTGGGAGCTCACATCTAGCGATGCCAACTTTGAGGAATATATGAAAGTTGTAGGTGAGTACACACACGGGAGATTGTTACGTACGGGAGGATGAATGAATGGGAGAGTACACGGGGGGTGAGGAAATGGGGCTTATGGTCAATTAAAATAACAATAAGTCATGGTGAATTGTAAATTACATTTTAGTCAGCACCACACTCCCCACCAAACAAACAAAAAAACCCCCACACTCTAATTTCATCTTAAAAATATTCATTATGAATCCACCCATATTTTAAAAGGGCGCTGAACTTTTGAAATAGTTTATATTTGATATATTCTTTCGTTATGAGACTATAAACTCCCCTAACCGAATGGGCATATATAAACACGTTATTAGTTCGTCTCTAGCCAGACCATCTCTATTGAGTAACGTTACGAGATTATCATAAGGACCAGCAGTAGCTGGCACGGACCCCTGAAACTCACACAGTAGCTGATAGGGACACTTGCATTAACCTCCGCGTGATGTCTTGGACCTGGTCGACCTTATCAAGACAGACATCACTCGTTCAAATAAGACCCTGTGTTAAATGTCAGGGAGGGCGCTTGGAAATTCCCCTCCCTATCGAAAATATTGCCATATGGCGATATGGAGCATATTGCCAAATTGAACATATTCTCATACTGAACATACTGTAATATGAAAGATGGTGTCATATTTTGAACATAACATTAAAAAGCTCTCTACATATAAATCCTAAATTTAATTTTGAAAAAAAAAAAAAGAAATTGTTGATGAAATCTGTACATGAGGTCATCCTCTGACGTCAGATAGTCTTGCCGCCCTTGCCCTCTCTACACCTTTCTTACTACGCCGTTGGTCTTGCCCCAATGCCGTTGGTAAAATATTAATAAATATATTTGATGAACATTTTCATTTTTATAAAAGCGCCCTTCCTTATGTGCACGCGCCCCCCCCCCCAAACAAATCTACTGCGATTTTAAAACACTGAATACCACTATATCTATACCACTACATTTCCCACTGGTTAAATTCTGTCTGTAGGATATTATTGTGAAATCGTACGATTATAATATGACTAGCTGCAGCCCGCCAAATGTTAATGCGTGTAGATCCCATCCACTAAAGTTACCTGACAAAACATGTATTCAAGTAACGCACTTGATAGATCCCCATTCAGTGCTACACCCCTCCCCCTCACACACACACAAAGTACACCATCGCACCTGAACTGCATTAATATTCAAATGTCCCACACCTTTTTACAACGCATAGTAATTACACCACCTCGTTCTGTAAATCCAAAGAATCTATTACGCACCAAAAACACTTGCGGTATTTTTAAGAACCTCTTTTAGCAAAGTTATCGGGAATTTTATTGTGTGAACGCGTTATTGACATAGTTGATTGTAAAATGTATTTGTTACAAAGTGAATTGTGTATTTTGATAGGATTTTGTAAATCAATCTTCAATCTCGGTCAGAACAGTGACAACGGTTTTGAAACTGCACACTTTGCACAACAGAAACAAAATATGACCACCTCAACTCGTCTATGATTATGTCCGTTTCAACCACAACCAGAATCAGTGGCGTGGCTAGGGATGCGAGGAATGTGGACCGCACCGGGTAACACCATCCCAGAGGGTTGACACCAAATTGAAAAAAAATGCATATTTACAGAGCACACACCACTAGGTTTAACCAAAATTCATTAAAGGATAACCGATCACATGTAAATTTTCTACATTTAAAACCAATCAAAATGCGGGCTTTATTAAAATGTCAAGGTTGATGCTTCAGCAATGAGGTGACGCTATAATTAGGTCAGAAAAACGCCTTTTTTACTATTATTTGAATTTTGGTAAATTTCATATATAACCGGAAGATATATTTATATCTAAATTCTGATAAATAAATCTTTCCATTGATACCAAATAAATGAATCGAATTCATAAAAAAAAAATAATAATAAAAATTAAACTATTAAATTTTATCCATTAAAGCTTGGGTGTCAAACTCAATCGTTCGGCTGGGTAACACTCAAATCAAATGTAATGTTGCTGGCCGAACAACATAAACATTCAAAAAGCGGAAAATTAATCTTTTTTATATAAACATTTATATAAATGAAAACAGAAAAAAAAAGTTGTAATAATTAAAAATCATTGGCATATCCATTTTCGTTTTTGTGCCAATTTGTCAGAGCTGGATGTTTCACACATGTTCTTGGCTACAAAAACAAGCAAGCTCGTTTATGTTGGGAGTAACGTTCTGTGTCATTGAGATTCTCATGATGTACTCCAAGTGTTCATCTGTGAGACGACTCCTGTGTGATGTTTTGTTAATATTCATCACAGAAAACAGCAGCTCACACACATATGTGTTACCCAACATGCTCAAGTTTCGAGCCGCATGTTGACGAAGCTGCAGCATCTCTTCAGGGATGAAACGAGTGAACTGGGAAGGCCCAAACCTGTGCTAATTTGCCCTTAGTCTCACATTACACTGCAGCTCTATTAGCTCCATTTGAAAATTTAAAAGTGCAGTTTCCACGTCTGTGACAAATGGGTTACGAAACAGCTCGAAATTACACTTATGTCCTTCAAAGTCACTAAAGTGCCGTGCGACTCCTCGCGAAGTAAGCTCAGTTTCTAAGCAAAGTGTCCATTGGGAAACACCATAGCGTTGACTTAGATACAATTGTACGCCGGTCAAGACCTCGCGGGCCTGATATAATTGTACGTCGGGCCGGATGTGGCCCAGGGGCCTTGAGTTTGACACATGTGCATTAAAGGGTTAACAAAATGATGTTTTCAAAATGTTCTCAAATATTTTAATAACTGATTTTAATTTACTTAAACTTTTTTTTTAAAAAAGGGTAACCAAAGAAATGGTAACTCATAAATACTCATATTAATACTTTCGCCGATTTGCCACTAGCACCGTCCCTTAACATTCGAGCACGATTGTCATACAGTACAAGGTTTTTCACATGCTGTCTTTGATTTCACCTTTATCAGCTACCTTTACTTTCGGGCTGATCTCCTGGAGGAAGTTACTCTTACACATCAGTATCTGCAGACAAAAGGCTTTTACACTTGACAAATTGGGGACCCGCCTAGATACCTTAAGACTTGTTACTATTGTTAATATGACTTGGTACCGTTGTTGTTGTTAATATAACTTGGTACGTTTGTTGTTAATATGACTTGGTACTGTTGTTGTTAAAATGACGTGATACCGTTGTTTTTAATATGACTTCGTACTGTTGTGGTTAATATGACTTGGTACCAAGTCAGTATTTAATCTGTTTAAATTCATAGATTAATGGGACTTCCTAGAATCTCAATACTCTCGCTAAGCCTTCAATTGTTTCTTACGATATGTGTGTCTGTGGCTTCATGTGAGCGGAGATTTTTAAAACTTAGAACTATTTACTATCCACCATGGGAAAATAAGGGACAATCTGGCTCTAAAATCAATTTGAATTAATTGATTGCAAGCTTGCAGCTTTCAAGATCAGTAAAGAAAATGGAATCTAAAAATAACTATAACTTCACTTTGTTACAGTTCTTAAATACATTTACCTCCTGAACTTTAATTAAATTTCTTTTTGCTCTTGTCGTTGTTGTACTGTGGTCTTATTTAAACAAGAAGAAAACGAAAGTGAAATTTAGGGGAGTTGGGTGACATCATGAGTTTACTGCACCGTGTGACACCAACCTTAGCTACGCCACTGCTGGCAGATATAACATGGCATCGACCCTTAATGTCAATGGGGCCGTTGTGGCATCTGGCACCATGTTGGCACTGTCACCTAACTGGCATCGTCATCCGCTGCACCAGGAGAACCTCCAAATATAGCTCATGCCTTAGTTCATCCTCACCGTGGTTAATTAATCGTATATGTCTTTAATTAGCAGTTAACCATTTGCAGCAATTACCTAGCCTGACATTGAATTTTCATGGCAATTAGGCATAATACTTATAAGATAACACTAACTAGTTGGGTAGGAAAAACATCATTTTTCTATGTGTAGCTATAGCTAAGACACTGAGTGGATGAATGAAGCTATAGCTGAGCCACTGAGTGTGCTGATGAGTGAAACTATAACCGAGTCAATGACTCAATGAGTGTTTTAATGAGTGGAGCCACAGCAGAGTCACTGTGTGTGTTAATGAGTGAAGCCATACGCGAGTCAATGAATGTGTTAATGAGTGAAACCATAGCAGAGTCACTGAGTGTGTTGATGAGTGAATCCATAGCAGAGTCACTATGTATATTAATGTTTGAAGCCATAGAGAGTCACTGAGTGTGTTAATGAGTGAAGCCATAGCCGAGTCACTGAGCGTGTTGATGAGTGAAACTATAACCGAGTCACTGAATGTGTCGATGAGTGAAGCCATAGCAGGATCACTGCGTGTCATTGGGACATTTCTAAATTTTACAATACAAGATAGTTTTCTGAATCTTGTTTTAAAACAGATTTAGCTCTCATCCTACCATATGAAATCTAAATTTAAAAAAAAAAAAAACTACTAGTCATTACAGCAGATTCCCATATCTACTAAAGACTTTTTTAAAGGACATTCTAACGATTTTGTGTTTGATTTGATGGAGTCAGCTTAAATCTATTTTAATTCACAAAATTGATTGTTGGTCGATGTCCCAAAGACTTGGAGCTAGGGTGGAGTGGGCCTCCTGAAAAACGCCAGGGACGGTGATATTTTGGCTGCCTATCACAAGTTGGAGCATCACAAAATGGAGTATCACAAGTTGGAGTATCACAAGTTGGAGCATCACAAAATGGAGTATCACAAGTTGGAGTATCACAAGTTGGAGCATCACAAAATGGAGTATCACAAGTTGGCGTATCAAAAGTTGGAGCAGCCAAAGTCTGGGTATCAAAATTAAATATGAACTCGTAAAATGGCCTCCAAAACCTTGATATTTTAATGTCCCGTAACTACAGATTCAGGGCAGACGACCTCATTTGTTATCAAGACATGGAAACGACTTGATTGGTTGGTTCTTAAGACTTGATTGGTTAGTTCTGACTTGGAAATAGACAGTGGCGTCGAGTTTATTTTAGTACTCGAGAAGTCATAAACCAACATGTCAATGAAAGAATCAAGGCATTGTATCAATATGGAGCAAGTAAATGGCTGAATTAATTTCTAGCCATGGCCAGTGAAGAAGATATTTTTATTATGTGGCAAAGGCACAATAAGACAAGTGATTTGGACAATTGCGTTGGAGAACCATTCATTGGATGAAATGGAGACATATCAATGACATGCAAAACATATTATGTGCCTAAATGCAAAAAAAAAAAAAGAACTTTGGTAAGAAGTCAGCTATTAATTTATCACAAACAGAGAAAGTATTTAAGTTAGTGTTTGAAATCCTCTCGCAAACTGAAGAAACAGACAGATTTAAAAAAAACAAAAAACAAAAAACAATGAAAGTGCATTGCCAAGCTGACTCGTCCTGAATGTCAGATGGTAATCTGGATAGTGAAAAGATTTCGTTTTATTTATTTAAAAAAAAAACACAATTTATTTTAGGAGGATTTTCATTTATAAACGATATGTAGATATAAAGATGCGACCAGGAGATTTGGCGCGCATTCTAGCAACTGAATGCAGTATCTTAGCAACTAAATGCGGTATTTTAGCAACTCGATGCGGCATCCTCTACTCTCTCTGTTTAAGTGTTATTAAAAAATGTGTCTTTGCCGCAGCTGATGATGGTTCAGGAAAAAAAGTTTTATGATCATTTGTAATAGGTCAAACAGCGCCTTCCCAAGCGGACTGCAACCCTCACAGCTGCATGGAGCCTGGTGTATCACAGGGGTGCAGTGTGGTGGGAAAATTTTAAACTATCAACCCGAATGCAAGGGTCACAACTCCGAAAAGTAGCCCCCCACCCCCTCCCCCCCCAAAAAAAGGGGGGAAGGGTGTGTCTAATAAAGTCATGCGACGGCTAAGAGCTTAAATTTTACTTTTCCTATGGATCAGAATGGTTCTCAATTTGTGCAAAGTTTGGGGTCTGCAATTAAAATAGCAATTTTTTCCGTGCAAAGTTTTATTCAAGCAATGGATTTTGATTTTTACCATCAAAACTCTGTTAGTAAAGTAAAGATTGTGTTTAAACTTTGTGAGTAAAGTACAGATTGTGTTTAAACTTTGTTAGTAAAGTATAGATTGTGTTCACAGGAGTGACCGAGGACATGACAAAGCTGGCCCTCGCTGTGTTAACAACTGGCTCAAAGCTCGTGCAGCAGATATCACGTGACGGTACACAATGGACAGTGCGGGTCATCACCAAGGAAGGGGAGAAAGTGGATGTTTACGAGGAGGGCAAACCTACAGATGTGTCTACCCTGGACGGTAGGAAGGTCACGGTACGTCGAATGGTTGATCGTGGAAGCATGAAAGCAGAGTGGTCAACAGATCTTGTTATTACAGCTAAGGTAAGTTAGGTGAAAGATTTGAAAATATTTTAATTTTTTTTTTAATGTCTTTGTTTTCAACAGGTTGTGTACACTCTAGAGGGCGATGAGCTCGTGGAAATTCAGAAAGGAAATGGGTTCGAATCTCGGAACGTGAGGAAAGTGAAAGGAGATAGTTTAACTATGGTAATGAGACATTGTAGACATTAGACTTAACTCCCAGTTGGGCACCTACAACATTGACAAATCTAACGAAAGTGAAAGGAGATAGTTTAACTATGGTAATGAGACATTGTAGACATTAGACTTAACGTCCAGTTGGGCACCTACAACATTGACAAATCTAACGAAAGTGACAGGGGATACTTTAACTATGGTAATGAGACATTGTAGACATTAGACTTAACGTCCAGTTGGGCACCTACAACATTTACAAATCTAACGAAAGTGACAGGGGATAGTTTAACTATGGTAATGAGACATTGTAGACATTAGACTTAACGTCCAGTTGGGCACCTACATTATTGACAAATCTAACATGGACAGCTCTGACTTTAAGACTTACCACTTTGACAACTCCAACATTGACATCTCTATAATGGCACCTCTAAAATTGAGACTTTCAACCTACAGATGGCAAATCTAACATTGACGCCTTGATCGAGACACATTCAGGCAAGCCTCTCTTTGTTGCTACGTAATCGAACGTTATCTCATTGATCAGGAGAACATTAGGACCCCCCTCCCAGTTCATCGCGACCCCTGTCAGGTCATTGTGACCCCTCTGGGGCTCATTGTGCCATACTACGCTCCTAGCAAGGTAACACATGGTCAAGTCGCGTCCCCATCAACTCAATTTATTTTCTTTCCCCAGACGTTGACAGCCAATAATTCAGTGACTTGTGTAAGGACATACAAGAAAGTATAGACACTCACCATGTGTGTGGTGACACCGGATGAATCAAATTAAATTACTACATGCGACATCACCATACTTAAATAATGCATTAAATTTAGTCTTATTATATTATACGAATTATTGTTTCATTAAAAATATTAAAAATGTATCTTTTGAATTTTGTTGGTCTTTAAATTTTATTTTTTTTTTTTTTTTTATTTTTATAAATCTGCAATTTTTAAACAAATGTATATAATATATGGTATATATAGAAAAATTAGAACTAAATTGTCATGCATGGGAGACTGAACTAAAAATTAAAAATAAAAATATTAAAAATGTTTTTTTTAAATTTTGTTTGTATTTAAATTTTATTTTTTTTTTTTTTTTATTTTTATAAATCTGCAATTTTTAAACAAATGTATATAATATATGGTATACATAGAAAAATTAGAACTAAATTGTCATGCATGGGAGACTGCACTAAAAATTAAAAATAATAATAGTGCGAAGAAGAGGCTAGTGGGTACGAGGAGGTGATCCTGAGAATTGTAGCATTTGCCTGAGCACTTGGAAGGGGCCATGCGGCGCTGAAGACATTTTCCTTGTATTTGAATGGTCCGGATCCCATAACCAAAAACAGTTATAAAAATATATTTTCAAAAATTCATTTTGCAAGCAGGCAAGTGGCCACAAAAAGCATGCAGGCATCTGCCGTTTAATTGGGACAGAGGCATGAAGGAGAAGAGCATGGAGGTATCTGCCGTTTAATTGGGACAGAGACATGAAGGAGAAGAACACACAAATCTGGACAGTTGTGGGGATGGAGGGGACAAAGTTGTTGACGGCGCAATTTCGGCAGCGTATAATGTTGTCAATGGCGTTTCTGCCAAAACTGGTAAATCTGTAGACACAGAGATACTGCCAACCATATGTAAAGGGTGTCAGCATAAATGTTCAATTAAACTTGTAGTTGAAAACTGTTAGAAAAAGTTTAGGATTACAATTTATTTTAAACCTAGTTAGACCTGTTTATAAAAAATTAATTAAAAGCATGATTCTTTCCATCTATTAATATTTCAGTATTTATTGTGTGACAAAGGTTTTATTTAAACATTCTAACTGATACAGTTAAATTTTGTAAACTAAGTATCTTATTGATCCCAACAGTCCCTGACTTGTAGAAGTAATACTGATCCTACAACTAGTTCATTCTGAACAAAAATTACTTTGATTATTAGCAATTTTAACCTATAATTCATTGCTTAAATCAGTAATTGGAACGTCTTGGAGACCACAGATTTTCAAATTTATTTTGCACTGTTCTACTTGCACTTTTCTACTGTGAAACCATCAAGTCATTTTACTTTTTTGTCCAAAACGGCTATTAAAATATGTAATAATTCTGTCACGTGGCTGCATGCACCTTGCAAGAGTAATATTATAAATGATGTAATTTGTTTAAAAATTAAAAATCTTAAAAAACGGAAAAATTTTAATTTAATTATTTTTTAAGAAATATAAATATATACCTTGCAACTAACTATACTAAGTGTGAAGGCAGCAAAATGATTAAGTGAATTTTTTTTGCATTTTTTAGCCAGCCGTTATTTTCATTCTTTAAATTATTGTTAATGAAAAACCTTAGATCCATATTATATTAAATTATTTTTCAAAATGTAAACCGCCTTTAAGCATTTTTTACTGAAAACATTCAAATCTATATCCATTCTTAATTTTTTTTTTTAAATATAAATCGTCTTATCCATTCTTTTAAGTAATTTTTAATGACAATTATTATATTCATTCTTAAAAAGTGGCATGTCCTCTCTTTAAATCAACTATAACATAATATTTTGACGAAAATGCGAAATAATTATAATCCATACCCAAAGGAAGCTAGTGAATATCAATGGGGGGAGGGGGGGGGGATCACTCTAAATATTTATTTTTACTAGTTAACTTAACTACATCGATTTAAATGAAACTATTCCAGATTGCGTTTTACTTTCTTGTTTTCCCCTTTAATTGTCTATGCTCAGGTCTGTTAAACTGTATTCAAAATATTTGTACTAACTGAACAAAAAATAATAATTTTTTAATCCAAGTTTCTTCAATTTCCTTAAAAATATAAGAACGTAAATTTTTTATTTTTTTTTATTGATTGCCCTGCCGCCTTGTCTTAAATTTAAATACAAATTGAAATAATAGGCATAGCTTACTATTACTATAATTACTATAGGATAGTATTACTTGTACTAGTCAAGAACTAGTGTATTTAGTTTCACTAACTTATTAGCCTATCGATGGGGAATATTATTATTACTGTTACTAGTATTAGCCCTACTAATTACTCAATATTCTAATATAAATATTAAATATTACAACACTTTTGACATTTAATATTGTTACACACAGTTGTTCTCTCTAAAAATAATAAAAAATCACAATAATACAAAAAGAAATCCACAGAATATTATATTTAAAATATTTAAAGTCATGTTCTCAAAATAATATTTCCAAGTAACATAACTATAACAATAACGAATGCCAAAACTCAAAAATAGTAAGTAATAGTCATATTTAACGGCATATACTTTAAAATAATTTAACATCATCAGTTACCACAATTACAAAATGGTGCTGTTGGGGTTTGAAGTAATTTTTAATCAGTTATTTTTTCATTGATAAGATAAATACAATTCTTTTTTTTTACCCAAATGAATGGAATTTTTTTTTACAACATTGTACATACTCATTTAGATTAATAAGACACGAACAAATTGTGTCAATATAACAATATAAGTTCCGCTTTAATAATAATTATACATTATACACAATTAAACGTTTCGGCGCATGCCTTCATCAGTACAAACAAACAAAACACATTTAAATAGGTATAAATTAAATTTACATTATATCAATATACATATCCTACCTAAAACAGAAATAATATAGGAGAGGGCGCTAAAACCAGAATTTGGAGTTTAAATTTTTAAAACTGATTTAAAATGATTGCAGGTGCTAACAGTAACAGTGTTTATTTAAATACACAACTTTTCAACTATTAAAGTTATTACAATTAAAATTTGTGTCAGTTTAAAAGTAAAATTATCATTTAAAAGTTCCTTTAAAAGGGTTATAACTTGCAATATATAAGCATTTATTAAATAGGTTAAGAAAAAATTGATTCGTCTTAAGTTCAGATCAAATGCTCATAGATAGAAACATGAAATTAAAAATAAGAAAAAGGGGATAAATTAATTACAAAGAGTGCATATTGATTTCATTTTTTTTAAATTTTTGAATTAAGGGTACAATCACCTTTCATGTCATTAATTAGAACATTTAGTGTGTTTAGTTAGGCTTTAATTAAGGGTATGTAGTTGAGTATAGTAACTTGAATAAGAAATAACTACAACATAATTTTATTTACATGGTTTCTAGTGATCCATACCTTTAATGTTATATTTCAGTTATTTGTGAAGGATATGAAGACATCATGAATGCCCTACATCTGACAGATATGTCAGATATCAAAGCTTTTGCCAGTTCGTCTTTTACTTTTATATGGTGATGACAATGGAAAAATATGATGACTTTCATTTTGAACCAAGCCCCCATAAACTTGATCCAGATGTTTGCATTAAGACTGAGGTGGTTACTGACTTTCACGAAATCCTTAAGAAAGAAATAGAGAATGCTGTTAACCCTTCAAAAATAATAGATGATGAATTTTTAGGCAGTGGTAAAATTAAAGTCTTCAAGTTTAACTGTCACAAAAGACTGTACACAGGAGAGAAACCTTACAAATGTGAAATTGGTCTTTCATCATTTGCTCAGTCTTCAAGTTTATCTTATCACAAAAGAAAGCACACAGGAGAAAAACTTACAAATGTGACATTTGTCTTTCTGCATTTGCCTACTCTTTGGGTTTAAAAATTCACAAAAGATAGCCCTGAGAAGAGAAACCTTACAAATGTGACATTTGTCTTTCAAAATTTTCTCAGCCTTCAAGTTTAGCTTATCACAAAAGAAAGCACTTGGCAGAGAAACCTTACAAATGTGATATTTGTCCTTCATCATATGTTTGCTCTTCAAATCTTAAAACACATAAAATACAGCAAACAGGAGAAAAACCTTACAAATGTGACATTTGGCTTTCTGCATTTGTCAACTCTTCCAGTTTAAATGTTCACAAAAGACAGCCTACAGGACAGAAACCTTACAAATGTGACATTTGTACTTGATCATTTGCCAACCCTTCAAATCTTAAAAACCATGAAAGAAAGCACTCAGTAGAGAAACCTTACAAATGTGACATTTGTCTTTCTGCATTTCACTCCTCTACAAGTTTAACTTATCACAAAAGAGAGCACTCAGGAGAGAAACTTTTACAAAGGTGACCTTTGTCCCTGTTCATTTTCTCATTCTTCAACTACAAGTTTAACTGAACATTAAATAAGTCACTCAGGAGTGGAGCCTTGCAAATGTGTTATAATATCATTTATGTATTCTAACAGTTCTGGTCTAAATAGTTACCGGAGAAAACACACTTGTGTTACCATAAATAAAAACTACCTAAGATCATCTCTATTCTGACGAACTTCTCTTCAAGATGGGACTGAAAGATATAAAAATTCTATTGTTCTCCAGTAAGTAGCCATTTGCCAGCTAGCTCCTCCAGACTTACTAAAGTTATCACTAATTAAGTCATTATTGTCTCTAAGGCTGACTTCTTTGCTAGAGATATACTTACATGTCTTGTGTTTAAATTGTTATGATTGTAAAATGTTGTCTTGGTTAATATATGTATTTATGTCTGTGCTAAAAACAAATGTGTGCACTGTAATTAACTGTAATAAAATAGATCAACATTTAATTTGAAAAAAAAAAAAAAATCTTACCTGGTTTTTTTATCTAAAAATTTTGTTATTTCATCTTGTATGACTGCTAATTTTTCTGGTCTACATAGTCACATGAGAAAACACAGATATTGAACCCTGGGAATGTGGTAATTCGCCTTTCGCATTCTCTCATTGACCTCATTTAAGTTCCATTGAAAGACTCACTCAGGAAAAATATCCTAAAAAATTTACTTTTGCCAATTTGAATGTGCTCAAAGTCTTTTAAATAAATAATCTCAAATTTTCGTAAAAACAATAATTGCTATGTTCTATTTTACAATTTTAAGACTACTA